GCTTCTTGAAATAAGATCTTTTACCGTAGTGCCAGATCAGGAAGGTGTAAGGAAGACTGACATGCTCACTGTTACACAGTGTACAGCTGTCCATGTCCTTTTCGTTCAACTTATTCTCGTTGCGGGCTAACCACAGACTGAGGGCGGCGCTCCTTCAGTCTTCTCTGTACAGCGTTTTTCTGCGAGTTGCTGTTCTGTATTCCATTCGGAGTGCAAATCTTTATGAATTATTACCAATGTCCTTCCGACCTCCATCTTGCCCAGCGGATTCAGAGAAGGGGAGCACTATGTGAAGTTTGGGTCGTGGAAAGATATCATTGACGAGTGGTGTCTATACGATCGTGTCAACCTTCCGAGGTAGGATCCCGCACCACTTCCAGACCTTTACTTCAGCAGGAGACAAGAGTGTACGACAAGAATAAACGACAGCGATATTTTCGTCTCTCAGTGGGCTACTGAGCAATTCAATGGTGATCCCGCGTTTTCGTCGCCTTTCCAGTTTTATGGATTGATTTCACGGGCAGCGAATGGTAGCCGATCATCGACGTTCGCAACAAATTGCGGATGGACCAACTGCTGCAGATACTGTGAAATTTTACGGTCATTAGCAGGTTCGAGGTCGACGAACGAAGTATGAGTTTTTCTGGCCGCTGGTGCGAAGACGAGACGTGAGGCAGTGCGGACTGCTTGCGAGGCAGGGCGCATTCCTTGATCAAACAGCGAGAGTAGTATTGGAGCTGCAGCGGGCCTCAGACTCGGTCCATTTAAGCGAAGTGTGTTCGTGCTATACTCTGAATCGTCGACCATCAAAAACTCATATGCTCGTAGATCCGAACCGAACTTATTTCACAGGGCATTGAACAAGCCCCGCGATAAACCCGTTTCGTTACACGTTATGAGGTACATGGTGCAAGCGCTGCGCAGAGCCATATGCGGAGTATATAGGCTGTTTTCTTTATTAAACTGACTTCGTTTCGTCCGGTTTTTCGGCATCGGCAAAGCAGTACCGGTCGGTCTGAGCAGCAGCGATGACGAGGTGCTTGCCGAATTATTACAAGGAAAATTCCT